ACTAGTGTGTTCCTCAGTCACAGCAGGGAGCTTGGCACTCAGGGGTCAGGAGCAGTGATGTGAGGGGAAAGAGAATGTGCAAGCACTGCATAGCTTGAAAATACGGCTGAAAGAAACTACTTGCTGATATAAACTGTGTGGGGAATGGCAACAACATCCTTGATTTGTTCAGTGTTGCTCCTTCTCAAAACCTATCCTAGAGAGATTTTGGGGTCTACAGTATAAAAAGGATATAAAACTGCCAATGAGTGTTCAAAGGAGTGCTGTGTCAGTGCTGAAGCGCCTACAAGTCAAGGTGTATAAGGATCAGATGAGGTCCCTTGCTTTGTTCATCAGGAGGAGGAGGGCTGTACCTGGCTCATTATGTTCTCGTGGAGGGTAACAGTCTCATCCATCAGCCGCAGCAAGTTTTGGAAGTCCACATCATGGTATTCAAACCGATTGCCAAAGGTGACGGAGCAGATGATGTTTGAAACAGCATTGTTGATTTTAAAGTGAGGGTTGAAAGGATTTCCTGGAGATGGAAAAGCAAACAATCAATTTTCTATCCATGTCCACAGAAAAGGAGAAGAAAGCACCTTCATCAGTGGAAAATATTCAATAAGTGAAATGAGTGGCCCTCAGCGGGCACCTTCTTGGGGATGGTTGGTTTCTTTGGAAAAGAAGATGTGAAATGGTTGCAGAAGAGCAACCACCACTGGAATTAACTGAGGACATTTCTTGGGGCTGTTGACATCAATGTTCTAAAAGTTTCAAATGGAGTGATAAACCAAAGGTAGGCAAAGAGTAATGTTTTGAGTGTAACTTAGCTGCATCTATCAGTTAATCTGAGGACAAAACACCTGTAGAAAGAATCTGGGATGCTAGCATTCCCTGTGAGATGAGGTATTTTTCAGCAGGTATTAGCATCAGGGAAGCGAAAACAGTCCAAGGTGGATTCTGCCTTCAGTGCAACTGCTGAGGGAAGTGGTCCTCACCCTGCTCATCCCTGAACGCATCCGTGAGGAATCGGCACTCCTCCTGGATCCGCTCCTCCAGGCTCCTCTTCCCCAGGCCAAAGTTTCGGAGGGTGGTCAAGGTGAACCTTCTCTGCTGCTTCCACAGGGGTCCCCTGGAGGAGATCAGCCCTGGCAGAAGTATTCCACAGTGAGTGAAGGTAGATGTCCTCAGCAAGGGGAAGAAGACAGAGGGTATCAGCCTTGATAAAGGGAGCTCAAGCACGCTGGTGCCTCTGCTCACCATGAATGTCAAGCCATGGCATTGCCTCCAGCTTCCCTTCCGGTATATTTGAAAGCGCAACACATTAACAGTGGATTTCAGATATGCATTTAAATAGATAGATCACCCAATTTACTGAAGATATCTGCGTCGAGAGGAATTTCAGGGCGATCCATGAAGTCCTCTCCCTGGGTCACAAGAGCTTCCTTGATCAGTGGAAGTCCATTTACGATCACAAATGACCGGGTGCCTGCTTGCAAACTGAAGATATCCCCAAGTTTTTCAGTAAGCTGTGCAAGGGGTAAGTAAATGAATAAATAAATGGGGATTAGTTTGCAATGACATTTTCTGAAGAAAGAACACATGCCCTGGCATCATCCACCCACAGGGAAGGACAGGCAGACTCGCAATGGAGACAGGGCAAGCTGAGCCTGAGAGAGATGTGGTTGCACAAGTGCAAGGATGTTGGCTTGATTGCACACAGCCCTGTTCCTCATTTCCTAAAGCAGATTTCAGGAGTTGCTGTAAAGCCTTCCAGGCTGCATTCTTCAGATTTTGCAAGACTCAACCGAGAAGGATTTTCCAGCCTTTGTTTAACTCCTTTCCCAAAAGGTTTTCCCATTAGACACACCTACAGCTGCAGATGAAATCATGGCACTACCCCATGCCCTTTGCCCAAAGGACTCTGGTTCTGTATTCCAAGGCAAACCTTATCAAAGTTGCAGCTGATCAAG